AAAGAAGATCATCTACATGAAGAGACAGTGCTCCATGAACTTGTCGATTCTTCGCATTGTTACCAGAAACAGGATCCATGAGGTAATCAACTGCTCCTTCGAGATCGGAAGTTGTGGATGACTTCTTTTCACTTACCAATGCGGGCTTCGGAAGCTGCTTGCCGTAGTACACGTATGTACAACGGTCTGCCCGGGTTGGCACCAGTCCATAGGAACGAAGTGCCGAGTCAAGGATGTTCCACCATCTGCGGGGTGCGTCATTCAGCCCGTACGCAGGCTTCTTCATGCGCGCTCCAATGTGTGCTGGATACCCCATTTCAGGAGGTATCTGACAAATGATGTCACGAGACTGATCGTATGCTTCGCCTTGGAGAAATGCTGTTCCAGCCTTTATTTGAGGCTGCTTGGATTGCAAGGCGGAAACCACTCCTGGATGCAGCAGGACTGTCTGTCTGCTGATCATTCTTCTGCTTGTCTTGGAAGCCTCGGAGGACCCAGCGAGCCTTGGTCTTCAGGAAGTTACCATCCTTGTCTCGCTTCAGGGTTAGAACCCAGCGACCGGTGACCCAGTTCCTGACCTGAATCTTGCGTGTGTCGACTAAGTCGAACACTTCATTGTCAAGCCATGATTTGCACTCAAGCTGTTTGGCTTCTAGGAATTGCTTCTGATAAGCTCTTATTTCCGTGGCTGTAGCTTCCTTCCGCTTCTTGCCAATGAGTGCGGATGTGGATGAAGCCTTCAAGGATTCTTGCTTGGATGAATACAGAACTAAGAGTGCACGGTCATCGTCGGTCATGTTCTTGCATAACTGGTCAACATGATTCTGATCTGTGTATTTCTGATGAGAGAATCCGCATCGGGGCGATGGGCTGAAGGTCCCTTTCACACGTCCAAGAAGGACAGGGTTGCCTTCGATATCTCTCGGAACCGTAAAGGATCCGGTGTTCGCACAGATCTTCTGTTCGGCTGTCATGAGTGACCAATGCGCTTCATCTAGAACGAGATCAGCTTGGTCCTCTGAGAGTCTTCTGAATCTCCATCTTCCTGGTCAGTGTATCTCATGGTTCTTTCTGAACTTCCAGTGCCGGATGAGGTTGGAACATGAGGAATCAGCTCTTCCTCACTTTCATATTGGACCGGCAAATTCGCTGGATTGTTCGGATTATAATTGGATGAAGATGCAGGATCATGTCTGGGAGAATGCCCAGGTGACTCATCATTGTCATCTGGCTTCTTCTTCTTCTTCTTCCCAGTCTTCTGCTTCTTTGATGGACTGCCGGTTGTTTCTTCTTGCGCAAGTGTTGGCAGTTCAAGATCTTCATCTTCTGCTTCGGGATTTGTAAGAATCGCAGGTGGTGAAGGTACCACGACAGTCGGAAGAATTGGCTGAGATGATTGCGACTGTGACGGCAAAGAGACATCACCCCCCAGTCGATTGAGTCCACTTGAGGATGAAATGGACTGTTTTTGCCGTTTAAGCGCTGCATCTCCTCCGCCAGGCTTGTCGTGTGGCGGTAGTGGAGGATCCACTGGACTGTCTGGTGACACACTGCGTGGTGCTGGCGGCATGGCATGATCAGGCTGATGTGGAGGGTCCGGAGGAGGATCCGACATGTTCTCGTCCGGTGGCGTTGGAGGTCTTGGATCAGGCATGGGATGGTCCGGTTGATCAGGTGGCTGCTGCGTGTCAGGTTGTTGAGGTGCATCCGTTGAATCCAATGGATCCGTCTCGATGGGCATCGGCCTGATGGCCGGCGCATCGGTGAACGACTGATGAACGGATGAAAACATCACAGGATGCCAAGTCTTCGGATCATACTTCTCCCAATTGCATTTTGATGTAGGCAAGACCCAAATTCTATTCAGCTGATCAGGCTGCCAGAAGGATATGATTGCATCGTCCGGAGGTGACGTAATAGGCATATTGATGCCAATGGTGTGGACGTATGCGGTGCATGCATCGTACTGAGTGGATGAGATGCACAATTGTCTCAACTTCTTACAGCCATTCCACATGTTCTGACATCGCCAGTCATTGGGATCTTGCTTGAAGATATCGATTTCAGTCCCAGGTGGGTACTGCTTCATCGTCTCCTGGAACTTCTGAACTAGCGGATCCTGGATGACTAATGGTTGAACGTCCTTGTTGAACGGCAGGTCTTGGATTCTGACTGCAAGACTGCTGCTGGTCATGTTGAACTCCTTGTCAATGGCTTCCATCTCCTTTCTCAGGATATCAACCTGATTGATGGTGAATGGTTCAAAAAGGTCCTCCAAGAGGTACACCTCATTGTCAAGCGGTTTCACCTGCAAGTGTCGTAGGAGGATGTGTGCGAGATCCTGACAGAACTGGTAAGGATACACCTGTGCCAGTTTGGTCCTGCTTCCGAAGGTACCAGCGTTTCCCTCTAGGGGTTGGTGTTCATGCTTGACTGAGCTGGAAATTTTTTCCCCTTCTGAAGATCGGTCTCATAACCTCGGAAGGTAAACAGTGCATCAAGCTCGTGGGCTTGAGACTTCTGAGCCCGGATTCAGGATCTTTAAGTCCGTATGCACAGAAATGGAAATCTCCCCAGGTCACGGATGCATCTGAAAACAATTGTTGCATGCATTTCAGATACCATATCCTGGATGTCTGAGGATTTTCGATGATGAAGTATCTTCTGTGCTTCAACTGATATCGCGCAATGGGTGCCACAAGGTAGCGTCTCCGCTTTTCCCCAACCTTTTGTTGGTCTTGTTGGATGTTCTGCATATTTGACCATGGTCCGCAGACCGGTGCCATAAGGATGACATCAGGTGCTTGTTCCCTGATGATCTCCATGACCATGCGCCGTCCCTTGGATGTCATTACATCGAATCCTGTGCGGATGTCTACGGGAGTCCCAACCTTAAGACCTGATAGTGCACAGCATTACTGAATCTGGCACTTCCTGCAAAGATCTTGAGAACGTGGATCTTTCCCTTACGTACACAATTCCAATGTGCTTGTTCAGGAATGGATGTGAGGTCCTCGACGAACATGTTCTCTGCTGGATGAGGTACTGCAGGTTTTGGAGTTGTTTTTCCCGCGAAACGTAATGGCACTGAGGATCTTGGCTTAGGAGCTGGTGCGAATGATTCCTTTTTCTTGGTATCTGCAGAGGAACCTGTTGCTCCTTCTGCAAGGATTCTCGCTCTTCTGGTAACAGAAGATCAATTCCGGGCTTCCCCGGAGGGATGGTCTCATCCTTCCTGAGCTTCGTCATGTTAACCTTGATGAGTCGAGTCCCAAGATCAAGTCCTACCATCGCTCCTTCAATGGAAATGACCTTTCCTTTTAGCCATATTCCTCCCTTGCTTCCATCGGAACGGATCTTGGATTTGTCTTCCTGCCAGTAGAATACCTTGTCCTTCACCTGAAGAGGCTTTGAACTCATTCGGAGATTTTGAGCAAGGTCTCGTCGGATGTCTTCGGATTGACGTGCTTCTTGGAAAGCTTGCTTTGACAGCTGCTTGATCTGGATGGCTGTCAGCTCTTCTTCATTCCTGTCAATCGTCAACTGAGTTGGTGTTGCGACATCGAGTTGGATGAGATCTGCTGGTCGTCTTCCGAATGCGAGCTCCAATGGTGTTACACCCCCGTAGGTGACGGTCTGATTCCTGACAGTTGCAGCGGCCTTCACTAGCTGCCTGTATGTCACTTTCTTCAGTGTTGCAGGTGCTGTACCTGCTTTGATGGAACTTAGCATGATCTTGAGTTGTGCCTTCAGGAGTCGAACTGCTGCTTCAGCTCGATTTGGCCATGGTGTATTCGGTCCCAAGGATATCGGTGTGATGTCAAGGGACTGATAGAAATGTTCCCATGTATCTGTCATGAAGGCTTGATCTGCGACAACTGATTTGGGCTGCAAGTGGTACTGGTCAAAATAGTTCCTGAGGACAGTGATGTTCTCGACTTCTTGCGTAGTTGTCACTGCCTCTGCAGTGAGCAATGTTGTTGCTCCATCCAGGATGACGAAAACAATGATGTGTTCTCCTGTTCCAAGAGGAACTTGACAGTGATCAATGAATGTCATGTCACCAAAGGTGTCCGCTTGAAGTCCACTTGTTTTGCCTCGTGATGGTGCATGTTTTGCCGCTTGGCAAACTTCACACTCGCTTCGGATCTTGTCAAATAGATCGAATGTTGATTTCGGCAAATGAAGTGCTCGGGTTCTAAATCGAAATTGATCTGTTGTCATGTGATGATGCTGCAGGTGGAGTTTCTTCAACTCTTCGGGATTTGACAATCGCTTGTGGATTCTGCCTAGGGCAAGCGGAAGCGATGTTGGTTCTTCTGAGGATGGTGCGACTTGCGAGGGGGGGCATCAGTTGTTGTGTGCAGGGCGGGGGAGTGGGGCGGAGGGTAAGTTACTTACTTACTTCCTTACCTACTGACTTACTTACTTACTTTCTTACTTACTTACTTACGGGCCTGCACGATTCCTCCTGGCTCCTGGCACGCTGGGTGATGAGACACTTACTTACTTACTTGCTTTCTGACCTACTTCCTGGCTTACTTGCTCGCTTACTTACTTGATTGACTTGCTTACTTAGTTACAAGGGAGGAGTTACTGAGTAACTCACTTACGGGCCTGCTTGCCCGCTAGCAAGGGACAGCGTGCGATCGCAGACTCTCCGGCTCGAATCCGCCTGGTGCGCTGGGTGACGCGACACAAGTACTTACTTGCTTACTTCCTTGTTCACTGACTTGCTTACTTACTTGCTTACTTAGTGACTTACTTAGTTTGCTTGCCTACGCACTGTCTTACTTACGGACCTGCTTGTGTTTTTTTTTTGGGGGGGGAGAGGGGGGGGTTAGTTACTACTTACTTACTCACTTACTTACGGACCTGCTTGCTTTTTTTTTTTGCGGGGGGGGGGGGGGGTTGGGTCAGTTAGTTAGTTAGTTAGTTAGTTACTTACTTACTTACTTACTTACGGACCTGGGTTCCTGATGGCAGCCGCGCAGTGCCGCCTCACCCGGTTCTGTTTGTTGGTGTCCAACTGGTCAAACAGCCCCAGCATGTGGGCCTGCGCACGCACGCCTTGCAGCATCTTTGATCTGCAGGAAGAAACGCCAGCACACATACAGAGACACACACACACACAAACAACCACAAAAAACACGCGGACACAGGACACACACACACAAACACACAATCAAGCAACCAGCAAATAAACAAACAAACAAACAACCAAACAACCAAACAAACAATGAGAAGCAAACAAACACGCAAGCAAGCAAGCAAGCAAGCAAGCAAGCAAGCAAGCAAGCAAGCAAGCAAGCAAGCAAGCAAGCAAGCAAGCAAGCAAGCTTGGGAAGCCAAACCACGCCACGCCAAGCCACGCCAAGCTATGCAAGCAAAACGCACAAGCTTTTCCCCAGCTGCGTTGGCACGGCTTGGAAATCAGGCTGCGGTCCCCTGCGTGAGAAAATGGCTGGCTGTCTGGGTAAATCACGAACTCGACACACACTACACCTTTTGCATGATCATCCTGCATCCACTGACAAAGGTGACCAGCCTCCACTGGCTGTCGGTGATTTCTGGACCGCAAGCACCGCATCTCTCGGCAGAAGTCCTCAAGGGTGACAATGCCTCAGAATCCGTGAGGCATTGCGAGGCTCCGTTTTTCTCTTTTGCAAGCTGACTTGGAATCGTTCTTTGGATTGCATCCCGTCGAGGGGCCGTCTTGCTTCGAGTCCAGGAAGCACCAGACCATCGACGTGGACCTCACAGGAGTGAAGATGAATCAGATCACCAAACCTAAGGACCTAAGAGCAACAAACGTGCCAAAATCAAAGAACCCCGGCACATCCCGGCACACAGGTGCAGTCAAAGAATTTCTGCATGCTCGCCTAAATTCGGAGAAGACAAACTCCAGGAACTCAGCCACCTGCGGCTTCGGACACCGGAGCTCGGCTTCGCGGCTTCGCGGCTTCGGCTTCCGAGAAGCAAATGCAGGACCGATCCTCGGGCTCGGTGAACCAGGTCAGCTTCAGCAGCCCATCCTGGGCTAAGACCGTTGCCCACATTGATTTCTTTCAGCCTTTTGATTTCCTTTTTGTTACATGTTCCTTTCTTATTCTTTCTTATTCTTTCTTTTTCCTACTTTTTCCTACTTGGGGCTCGCACCAGGCCATCTTGGAAGGTGGCCTTGGGCTTCCTGGCCAACGCGCTTTGACGATCCGACCCCTTCCGACCCCTTCCGGCCCAACCCTCGGAGCGTCAGGGTTTCCACGTGCTTGCCGATGAGATACTCCTCGATGGGGTCCTTCCAACTGACGGGAGTGCCACAAAGCCACAAATCATCACACGAAACCCAGAAATGAACGAAAAGAGTGCACATGGGTGCGCATTGACAGTATTTGTTCGAGTCTTCCCTACCACGATTGCACGCGAATCTCTGTCCTGGCACCGGAGCTTGCGGGCCTCCTCGGCATGTTGGCTCAGCGCCTCCCAGCAGGAAGGCCCCGGCGCCGGGGCCTGAAAGGCGAAAGGCGAAAGGCGAAAGGCGGCGATCAAAGGATCAAAGCTAGCTGACACCGTTTCTCAACGCCTTTTCACGCCTTTTTTCTCGCAGGAAAATGCTGTTCACTTCACGAGCAAGATGAAGTCAGGTGAAACTGTGGGTCTCAGGACCGCTTTGGATTCATCAATCTCTCAAGCAATCCAGTTCCTACCAGCAAGGCATTGCCCACAACGATGGCAGTGAGAATTGGCACCGTTTGAATTGGCCCCGTCACCTCGGCAGACTCGCAACACGCCCCGCTGGTCTGGGATGGGATGCTCTGGGGCTATGGCAAAAAGACCCACAGGGAAGGACAGGGCAGTGATCGGCGCTGGCAGCAAAGCACCAGGCACTGCGCCCAGCATCACCGGCACGGCGATCGCGGGGCCTGGCCCGAGCCTATCCATCCAACCGAAATGGCCAAACCAAGTCCTTGTCTGCCTTACAAGTGCGTTACAAGTCCTTACAATGTGTCTCTCGACTCCAGGTCCCAAGTCGTTCCAGCGCGCGAGCGAGCGCTGAGCACCGGGCTGATGCTGAAGATCTTGGCGCAGGCCTCCCCGATCGCCAGGCCTTGAAACGGATTACGACAAAAAACAGACAGAATTGGAACCCAATTCGAAGTTCGAAAGTCATGTGGGATTAAAGCGGTAATTCGCCTAAGGCGGACTGAACAATTGAACAAATACTGAAAAAAAAAACAGATTTCTTTCGTTTCACATGAATTGCGCCTTAGCAAGCCCCTGACGAGCCCTTGGCAAACCGCCCGAGCGGCCGTAGAAGAGCAGTGGGAAGAAGATCCCGCCCACCAGGCCACCGCTAGCGCAGGCCCAGTACGCCACACACTTGGTCATAGCGATGCCTTGCGACTCAAAGAGTCTCACTGAACCTCACTTCAGCTGATGCTCTGGTCCACGCCTTCTGGCTGTCTAAATGCCGTCTAAACATTGCATTTTCATGGGTTCGACCACTTGCCGGACCGGGGCCCGGGGCCCGGGGCCCGGGCCAAGCAGCTCCCCAGCAGTGAGATCCGGGGCGAACTTCATGCAGGGGCCCATGGCCTCCTTCCCACTGCTGATGGTCAAGGGGAAAAAATAGATGGCCACCTCACGCATCCACACTCAGCCCTTATCTGCCAAAAGTGATCCTTTCTCTGCCGTGATCTTTCGAATGTCCCTGCGCACACCAGCTCCCAACCCGTCTCCACGCAGCCAAGCCGCCCCAGTGATGACACCCGCCAGCGAGGCACAAACCACCTGACGCGTTGGCAGGCCCAGGCGCCTCTCCAGCGGCCGCGCCACCACCGTGAAGAGTCCCTGTCCACTGAGCTCCCAAGGTCCGAAGGCCCCAAATTTTCAAATCGAAAGGGAAACGACCAAACATGACCTGAAAGACTCGCGCAGCTGACCCATCTCACCCCTGAATCCCCATAAGCCGTTTTGCATCGGAAAGGGACTTGCGAGTGGTGGGTTTTTTGCAAGATTAAGGCAAAGCTGCAAAAAAGCCTCGAAAATCTCGCAGGCGAAATGTACTGGAACCACCATGCCCTCACGAGCAACACCAAACTCACAAAAATACCTCGAAAAAAACAAATATTATGAGGTATTCAGGCTCAAACTCGTCAAAACCTCGATAATTGAATATACAAATTAAATGCTATCTCTCAAGGATACGTGATGTCCACAGAAACATGCTCTTGTTTTTGTTTCCCACGATTTCCCGCGGTTGCTTGTCGATTTTGACTTTGAATATTCGAATCCTATGTGTTCTTCGATTTTGAGCGTATTCTCCCAGTGTTCACCCTGATATTTTTCCCAAAAGTTCCCCAGCTGTCCCTCGGTATTCCGCTAGTATTCCTTTAGTATTCCTCTAGCATTCCCGCAGTGTTCCCCTAGTACTCCCTCAGTTCCCCAAGCAGTCCCTCAAACCCACTAGTATGTTCCTAGTATTCAGCCTTAGTACGTCCCTAGTATACCTTTGTTTCTCCGGTAGTATTATTCCTTGTGTTGCGTATTGTCCCCTCGAAGCTTCCCTAATATTCCTTTAGTATTCTCTGGAAATGTTCTTAGTCTTGTGCCCTTACTATTTGCTGAGAATTCCCTCAACATTTCCCTCAGCACTGCCCTACTATTTCCTTACTGCGCTCACGTTCCAATCCAGGAAAACAAAAAAAAACAACGATTTGTAAGAACAACACTACCGCGGGAGAAGTCCCCCTCTCTTTTTCATGTGCACCCGCCTTCATAATCGCACCGACCAGAATGAAGATGAGCGCGCACACCGCCGCCAAACAGCCCAAGCCCACGCCAGTGAAAACAGACAGGTTGTCATAGCCCTTCACCTTGCAGTCAAGGAATGTCAAAATGCTGGGAATCCAAGACTTCAAGAGCCAGCTCAGAGCCCAACGTAATACGGGTGGGAAGTCATTGGAGTGCTCACTATTGCCCACCTCATTACGAAGGCGGCCGTTGCAGCCTTAGTCCAGTCCGAGAGACCTCAACTCGCCATGCGCGCAATCGGTTTCCAAGGCAGCAGCTGGCACCAGGTAGAAGAGAACTTTCTTGGGCAGGCGCCGCCCTTCCAAAAAGCAACTTGAGTATGAGTCAAGATTAAACCACCAGGAGACCGCAGGTTTTTAGTCCTTGGTTCCATTTACCAGGGTTCTAGTTTGGGTACCTAGTTTTGACCCACAGCCACATGAAAACGGCTGATAGATCAAAATAGGCTCAAAAGATTGCAAGCGCCCTTGCACGCGAGCCTTGCATGAACTCATCCTCTTGGGCGTGGCGCTCGGTGCCAGCACTGGCAATCTCCGCCACCAGAATCACAGAAACCTACGGGCGGCAAGCAGACATGTTTGCTCCAATGTTGACCTGTTTGGATTGCTGCTTCTCGTGCTGCAGATTGCGCCAACGTAGATGAGGGCTGGGTTGCTCATGCTTCGGCTCATTAGCTAAGAACCTCTCCCATCAAATCCTTAGGGCTCCAACGAAGGGAGCTGGCAGGATCGTGCCAAAGGCAGCGGCCAAGCCGCACAGGATGTAAGCACGCCTAGCCAACGAGCCGCCGGCTCCAACAGTGGCAGTCTACGCGGCGAGCCGACCAACAAAACACACAAAATCCCAAAGTTGCAGAATCAAGTCATGGCCATCACATTCTTGACACGCTAGGCCTCCGTGTGTCAGCTTCAAGCTCGTTCGGGGACGGGGATAGCCTGCCACGAAATATCACTCTCTCTCCCGGTCACCGCACACAGGCCCGTGCCTCTCCATGGCCTTGCCCAGCCACATGCCCAGCACGCCACCCAGCGAGCCCAAGCCGGCCTCTGAATCAATCGACCATGAACACGCAAAAACAAAAGAAGAACAAAAAAATCCGGGCCGTATTAGCCGTCTGGGTGCTAACATGTGCTTAAGACGAGGCAACATCCAACGCTGAAACGAATGCAACGCGCATCCATTCGCATCCATTCGCATCCATTCGCATCCGCGCCTCGAGACCCATCACGGCACCGGCGCTCAAAGACACGATGCAGCATGCCACCACCTTGAAGGATACCCAGGGATCCACGTGTTGGTGCTTCAGCTCCTCAATGAAAGACGGATACCTGAGTGAAGCTATAGTGAAGTGGAGCTATAAAGCCAAGCCGAAATCGGTCGAAACTGGACCGGGGTGCGTGTCCAGTTTGAGAAGCGCCTTCAAAATGCCCGCGACTGTGCAGAAGCCCCAGCAAAGCAAAATCCAAGTCCGCGAGCCCGCGAGAAAGTGCAGGTTCTCCGACTCTTCTATGAGGCCTGCGTAAATGCTCCAAATGCTCTCGGGCCGAAAACAAAACTGCAAATTGAATTTGTATCTTTGACTTGCAACATGAGGGACACGGAAACGGCGTTCATGCTTCTAGCCTAGCCATTTCTAGCCTCAACATCGCCAAATTGACGGGGGGACAGCCTGCGGGATGCAGTGGTGGGCTTCTACTGCACCTGCCTGCTGGCCCGAAGTACTCCAGCCAAGCAAAAGGCACTGAAGAGACCCCGGCACCTCAAACACGCGAGGCTGACTCCACAAATGTGCAACATGCTTGAATTTGCCACCTCTGCGTGCCAAGCGACGTGTGATGTAATCAGTACAAGCTGATGTCTCGCACTTGCTAGGAATTGCTCATTGAAGATCAAGAGTTGCAATGATCTATCCCCATCCCGATGCATTTGAAAAAGACTACCCGGCCATTTCAGGCGAGATCAAACAACTGGTAGAGTGAAGAGCATCACAGACCTGTTATTGCCCCAAGCTTCCTTGCGTTCGACACACAAAGTCCCTCTAAGAAGTTGCCCATGCAAGCCGAGCTGCAGTACGGAATGGAGAGCAAGCCCAAAACGACACCCAGGAAGCACATAGCCAGAAAATCCACCCCTGTCTGCCGGGTGATGTAGGGAACGTCGAGAATGTCCTCGGGGCTTGCAAGCTTTCAGGGCGCGAACAATGTGTGTCAACATCTGGACTGACCCTTCCTTTGCATAAATTTCGCACTCGAAAAGGATCCGAGCTCCTTCATGGCATTTCCACTTTGAGCTTCGGCGGCATCGTGGCCCTCCGTCATGGGAACCTCCATGTCCCGAGCGCTCATGGCGCTGGAAGGCTCCGGCAAAAGGAAAACGCGGCAGTCGCGTCAGCTCCGGCAGTCGGGGTCACACCTTTTGCTCTTGCTGTGCTCTCGCTGTGCTCTCGCTGTGCTCTCGCTGTGCTCTCGCTGTGCTCTCGCTGTGCTGTCGCCGTGCTGTCGCACTTGGCACAGCCTGCCACGTCTTGTCACGGCTGGCTTCTTCGCCTTTCTACTCGTGCGCTTCACAGATCGAGCCAGGCACCGCGAGGCAGTTCCCAAACAAGAGCGCTTTCAGCAGGTTTCAGCAAAGTCTATCATCAGCACTTGCCTCTTCCAAACCACATGCAATGTCTTGCCAGCTGATGGCAGAATCCTGCGCAGCAAGACATATTCCATAGAAAGTGCCATGGAATTTAGAATATATCTGGCAAACTCACACCCTGCCTCATCTGAGTCGCAGAAAAAAAATAAGGTCTTCGCGCCGATCCCACCAAAAGGATAATCCTTCTCTGTGAGAGCCTGGCTGAAGAACTCAGACATTTTGATGGGAAAGTGCAACGAGGGCAGCCCAACATAAGAACCAAGATGAACCAAGTCTTCAAGTTGGAGCCGACATCGCTGACGCCTATCCGAACAGCAAAGCCATAGCAAAGCCTAAGGATCGAAGCTCGCCTCCACGAATTGATCTCTGCTCACCCGCCCAGCCATGCCTTAGGATACGTCGGATACGTGGCAGCCGCGAGCAGCGCGGAGCTAAGTGCCATGCCGAGTGCGTCTCGCGCAGCCTGGCATCGGGCTGGGGTGGGGCACGCAGGGAATCACGAACACGCAATAAGCAAATGGCATGGGATGACAGGCTGCGACGCAGCATTTGCGCTGAAACTCACCGAACCCAGCGCTCCTCCAAGCTTCCGAAGGTGCGCTGCGCCCAGGAGTTGAACTCGCCGAGCCTTGCAGCTTCACATCTCCAATCTCCGAAAGGCAAGCATGTGACTCGACTCTGCCCTAGCCGCAAGGCCCAAGCGCCAGAAGGCGCTTGGGCTGGTTGAAGCGTCGCCTTGGACGGCGCGATGCTTGTTTCTTCAAGTTTCTTCTGGCTCATGTCTTTTCTTTTCTGCTTTCCTTCTTGTTCCCCTGTCTCTTGTTGTTCCTCTTTTCCTTCTTGCCCTTGCAAGAGGTCTGAGCGAAAGGCTTCTCTCGGCTCTCAGGTTGCCAGCTGGCATCCAAAAGCGGTGTAGGCGCCATGGCAGGTGCCTGGTCATCACAGGCCCTGCAATAGTGAGACTGCCTTCAGTTCTCGCTTGTCATTTCTGATCCCGAGAGGCTTGCCAAGTTCTTTCAGGTTTCGTTCCTCACTTTGTTTCGTTCTTTCACCCACTTCGCGCTTCGCCGCCTTCTCCGTGCACCGCCGCACCGCCGTGGGCGGGCGCTGTTGCCGGAACTTGGCCAGGCGCCGCTGCTGCAGCACGGCCATGGGGCCTCAAGGCGCGTGTGCGAAGCGGTCGGATCGGATTCGGGTGAAGCGTTGCAGCTCGCTGAAGACTTGATTGCAAGATGGACGTCAGACGCACAGCGCGCTACGTGGAAGTTAGCAAATGAGACCTGGGAGAAGACACCACCAAGTGTCTAAACTATGCGCACTGAGGTCGTAACCATCTTCGTCATGCAACTCCTAGCATGTCCCATGCTTGAAGCCGCGTGCGCTGGCATCTATTAGTGGCTTCTCCAGTTGAAAAGCCTGTCCTGCATGCCGGCCAGGACTGTCTCAAGCGGGTCGTAGGGCAAGCCTCGAGGGTTGACCTTCGCGGCACAAACCGATTTAAGGATGCCGCGAGGACCAGGTCAACATGCGAGGTGCCTCCGGGGCATCTTCGACGCCCATCAGGACGTTGACCAGTGCCATCTTCCTCGGGGCCGCAATTGGTCCCGATCTTGCCAAGGCACAAACGAAACCGGGCATCTTTTGTCGTCAGCCTTCCAGAAAAGTCACGAAACTCCAATAAATCTACAATGCCTACCCGATCTCTGTACAAAGCCACTCACTGGCATAACTCAGTAGCACTGCTGGAGGCCCTCCAGGCAATTGCCCACTTTCCTAAGCCACACGCTGCGCCTCCGGGTTTCTTTTCCTCCTTCATCTTTTTATTACCATCCCAAATGAACTTTTCGCTGAGGCCCGGGGAAGAAACTCGTGCTGGCATAGACCCAAATTGTTTATTGCACTTGGTCAGCAAACAGCACGACAGGTTACCCGAAAGCATTCATCAAGCAAACTCTCCTGCAACGGCATGAAACCCTCACACCCTAGCGCAGCCTTCTGCAATGCACCCATTGAAGCACCCTGAAAAAATGTGTGCATCACACTTCACCCTCCCTTCTTGACGTTGCAACCCCTACAGCCAGTGGCTTTCATCTTGGCTCCCATTGAGCCTATGCAACCCCGAGGCCTCACCAACATACCAACCTGTCTCGAATGTGCTCGCACAGCCGAGCAGCCACTCGCAGCTCAGTGCCTCAGGAAGGGGAGGATTGTGGGGAACAGAGCTGATTCGTTGCGACGCCATGCGACTCCGTGCGACGCATGGCGCTTAGCAAGCCGAGCTGCGGCTACAGTGCCATTGACAACTTTGGAGATTGAGCCCGACCTGGCGCATGCATGGATAGTGCTGCGGGTGCCAGCCAAAGTTCAGGCAAGCTGCTCGCAGCTCTCGGAATCCTCGAAGCACTCGCAGCTCCTGCAAAAGAAAGCGCTTTGCCAATGGGGTAGACAACCACGCAACCTGAGCAACTGTGCAAGGTCCTTTGGTGGGTGTCCCGCAGCAAGCAGGAAGGTGCCTCCTGCTTTCTTTGGCAGGCATTCCTGGGCAGGTTGCATTACGAATCCGCCGACCCCTTTGCAAAAGCCAAGTTAGTCTCTGCAAAGGGGCGAGGCGTGTTCTAAGTGGTGGTTAGGGGAGTCTGAGGGGGGGAGGGGGGGTCCCGCGGCGGATTTTTGACACGCCTAACCTCTAACTCTAACCTCTAACTCTAACCTCTAACCCTAACCTCTAACCCTAACCTCTAGCCCTAACCTCTAACCCTAACCTCTAACCCTAACCTCTAACCCTAACCTCTAACCCTAACCTCTAACCCTAACCTCTAACCCTAACCTCTAACCCTAACCTCTAACCCTAACCTCTAACCCTAACCTCTAACCCTAACCTCTAACCCTAACCTCTAACCCTAACCTCTAACCCTAACCTCTAACCCTAACCTCCTCTAACCCTAACCTCTAACCCTAACCTCTAACCCTAACCTCTAACCCTGATGATGACGAAGTCGATAATGATGATGATTGATAATGATGATGATGATGATGATGATGATGATGATGATCATGATGATGATGATGATGATGATGATGATGATGATGATGATGATGCTGAATGATGATGATGATGCTGATGATGGTGATGATGATGATGATGGTGGTGATGATGATGATGATGATGATGATGATGATGATGATGACGATGATGATATGATGATGATGATATGATGGTGCTGATGATGATGATGATGATGATGATGCTGATGATGATGCCGATGATGATGATGATGATGATGATGATGGATGATGATGATGATGATGATGATGATGATGCTGAGGATGCCGAGGATGATGAGGATGTGGTGATGATGAAGATGATGATCATGATGCTGATGATGATGATGATGATGATGATGCTGATGATGATGATGGATGATAATGATGATAATGATGATGATGATGATGCACGATGATGATGATGATGGTGATGATGACGATGTTGATGATGGTGATGATGATGATGCTGATGATTATGATGATGGCTGCTGAGGATGA